ACATCCGGACATACCATGGGGCACAATGGGTCATTCTGTCAAAATGCAACGATGTATTTATTCCTTTAAAAATAAGCAATCAATCATCATAATCGTCTAAAGAACAGGAAGACTTAGGACTTGAAGATTTAGGATTTTTAAAATCAATGTTCAACCGAAATATTTCAGATATTTTATCAAAATATTTAGCAAACAAATTAAATTATTTTTTTTCTCAAATCTAAATCTGGAAATATTCTTGATTCTCGAATATATGCCATATTGGGCCATGGGTCAAAAGATACCATAATATTACACAACACATAACCCATCTCTAGGTCTCTAAGAACTTATTGTATCAAACACTGTCGAATTGTGCCATGTAGGGCATGTTCCACTGAACCCCGGTCCATTGTTCCCCATAATAAACAAATATTTTCAGACCATCCCAAATTCGGAAATTTGGAAGGCACATCCACTCGCCAACGTTATGAATATTTTACAGTAGACTAAAGCTAAAAAATATCATACCATGGCTTGTCACGTTGGAAATTCTAAAGTAAAAGAAAGAAAAAACTGGAATAGTGAAATTTTAGTTTCAACCCCCCAAAACCCATTTCACCTCATAGCTTGCGTCGCTCTCCCCGTCCGTTGTCCGTTTGCGGGGACATTGTAACTCACCGAAGGGCGGATTAAAACATCGAACTGCGAACCGGATTCCGGATATAGTATCGGCGTGATAGTTGATTTTCCACTGTGCCATATGTCCCAACGTGCCCCACCTTCCCCTACCCCAAGTTAGTTGCCCAATGCTCTACCAATAATTTATTCGGCTAGATGGTGTTCTGGCGATGGTATTTTCTACATTAACTGATATATATATTAAGTTCTCTGGTCTAAAATTTGTATGGTGTTTGTCTAGTTTGTCCAATGACTTGTAAAAGATGTTGTACCCAAAGTTAGTTGCCCAATGCTCTACCAATGTTTTATTTGACTAAATGGTGTTCTCGTTCGTCACAATTTCTTTGCAAGTGTCGACCTTTTTTTGCAACGTCTGGTCTGTACACTGCTTCGTTTTCGCATTTCGCATATCTGTGGCACATTGGAACATAGTTGGAGTTCTCGGGGGAGAACAGTTTTACACCTTACGCCAGGGGTCAGCAAACTTTTGTCGCTCGCGGGCCAAAATTAAGGTTGCAAGTCTTTGGCGGACCGCACAGATTTTTAGAAAGTTGAAAACCGAACGAATGATACATGTTATAATAAAAATCAAGCAGTGATACATCTCTCGAATATAATATAGATTTATTTTCTCATTGCCTTGCATCTCAAAAAATTACATTTGAATATTTTCGGCGTTATTGAACCCTTTGCACTTAGCATCAACTTTTCTGCGTTTTGTTGTCATTTGTCTAATTATAATTAAATTATAGGCTCATTAAACGAGTAATTGTAAATTATATACTTGTTAAATTATAATATAATTTAGTCTACACGTGCCTCACAATAAATTCTGTTAGGTAAGGAATATAATCGATAAAACAGCTGTTTTGTTACTATAATTCAGTAAAGCGTCGCGGGCCGGATTAGATTACTCTGCGGGCCCTAGGTTGCCGAATCCTGCCTTACGCTATCAATAAATACAAAGTTAGGCATGCGATCTTTTGTAAAATTGTTCATTGGGAAAAACGTATAACCGTTGAAAAGTTGTGAAGGTGAATCCCTCGTTATTTTTTATTAATATCAAATTTCTAAAATGCGATTCTGACACATGACAACTATGTAAAGTCAACTTTTGCCCTTGCTGATTTTTCTTGATAGGCTTAATGTAGTAGATTTGTAGGAATCGGTTTGTAATATGTGGGTGGTACCATGATTCAATTTGTGTAAGCATAATATGATGTTATTGTTGACGGAGAGACGATTTCGTACTTCTCATCATTGTCTAAAATCCGCGAATAAGAGGTTTTGAGTTCTGGAAAACTTTGATTGTACTTGAAGAATGAGAGTGACTGGTATATTTTGTATGCTTTGCATGTGAGAATAAACTGCTTATGGTTCTTATGGTCTGATATTGATCCCTTGCAGCATCTTGTGCGTTTCACCTGGAGACATTAATGGATTTTTTTTTTGCTCTTTTTCCAGTCAAATTGAAAGCATTGGGGTCATCGTGGCTGTGATCTTAAGTGGTTTGAATGTTCCGTTATTCGTGAGCGTTTCATGCGGGATGATCATGTGCATCAATCAAGATATTGTTGCATTTATTCCTTGTTTGAATGATAATCTTGAGGGTATGACCAGGAGGTGTTACCCCTCAATTTTTTATGGACATATTTGGACAGTTCAGATAAATAGCTGTCATCTAGTCCATTCTTACCGAAGAGATCAATCAATGTATATAACAGATTGATTTTCTGGAATATTCATATATACACATTATTTGCTTTAATGAGAAACAATAAAACATTTGAAATAAATATAATATGTAACTGTTTCGAGGCGCACTGAGCAAATCGCTTTCCGCAACCGCTAGCTTAGCGTTTTAAGCCGGCATTGTTGTGCAAGCACGCAAATCGGGTCAAACGATCAGAATATGCATTGTTATGCAAGCGCGATGATTCTACCGTGTTTCCCCCAAAATAAGTCCAAGCCTGAATTTTAAAAATGATTTTAATACAACCGCTCGCCTTGAAAAAAGACTTCGTCGATAGCGCAATTTGTTCACCTAATCCCGTGGAAGTTTCAATTCTACTATAGGGCGTCGCAAAATTTCGTGATGGCGTTATAATAAATAAGTTTAAATGGTTTTCTGTATATGACGATTATTTTTCCTTGGTTCAAAAAGCGTTGCGCACCCCATCTCCTTTGCGATTTCGTATTTATATAAAGCAGGCTTTTCTACCATGGCCCAATAAATGTGATTTCACTGACTGTTGTTATAGGTTCTGTTTGTTCGTTTATATAAAACTCATTGCAAAAAAGGTATTATATTGAAATGTACTAATACGTACGGTATGTTTCACGGGAAGTCGCAACTTGAGCATATTTCTGGAGGGCGTCACAATACAATGAAGTTCGAAAACCACCGAGTCCTAGTCGATAGAAAGAAATCTACTTTATAAATGGTTAATAATCTATACGTAGCAGCTATTTTAAATGAAAACGTGCTATTAAATTGGTATCATATTCAATCATATTATTTATATATATCGGTATTCATATTTTGTATATTGAAAAAATCTCGTTATTCTCTACATCCCCCAAAAATGAGTCCCAGTGTACGAGAGAAAATTGAAGACAATGTCTTATTTCCGGGAAAACACGGTATGATGATGTATATTCACTCGGAATCATGAAATTATCGTTTTACACTATTTTTAAAAATTGTATTTCAAATCAAGAGTGAAAAAGTGCAACAGATATAGTAATTTGTATAAAATTGGTGTTCTCTTCGCGGCCCCTAGAATTCGTTTCGCGGCCCCTAGTTTGGGAAGCCCTGGTGTAGGCTACTGCTGTATGTGATGTCATGAGTTTTCACTGTTTATTTTGTGCCTTATTGTATTCTAGTGTTAGCCATTTATTAACTCACTTATGACTTTGACATATTAATTGCTAAGTAATTTTCTATTGCATCCAGATTGTGTTTAAATATCGCTACTCTCCTAACTTTAAAAGCAAAGTTGAGGACGGAAAAGCTAGAATTTGTGCTGATAATTTCAAGGATGAAGATATTCAAAGGGCCAATGAAAAAAGTTGGATTAAGTTTGGAGCATCACCCACAAAATTGTTGCCAAGAAAATCACATGAAGTACCTCCTGCCCACCAAGAAGAATTGCTCCCAAATATTCATCTATAAATGACTGTTCACCTTCATCATCTCAATCTGCAATTATTAACTACAATTCCATCAATGAAATAATTTCAGCTTTTGAAAGTCTCACCTTGAAAAACTGGAGAATACATTAAATCAATACATACAAAGCTCATTTCATGCGACACCGGAAATAAGCCTTCTAATTTGCCAATTTGACCAAAAACAATTTTCCTTTTCTTGCGCTTTCGCTGGAATTCATGCTTCCACAATATCATCGGCAATTTCAATTTTACTCAAAAACTTGATTGATCTCACCCCGTGTTTGGGATATGATATTGTTTCTACAAATAGTTCATGGATTCCCAGAAGTGTTTCAGAAATAGAAGATAATGGCAGATTTTCCTTGAAATTAAGGTAAGATAAATTTGCATTTAGTCAGATATACTTCTATTTAGTTGTATTTTTTTTGAATTTATTTTTGGTATTGTATCAATACAGATATCTAAGCTCTCAATGTGAAATAGCGTATTCTTATGCTGGTACACGACCCAACATCTGCTACAGTTGTATGCGTCTTCATGTGCGTGATCAAGACATTCAGCCTTTTTACAACATCTATGATAAAAGATTAGAATGGCTTGAGAAAGATTTTCTAAAATACCTGGATATTGGGAAGAAAAGGCATACAGTCGGCCAATAGTGGGAAAAGTTAATCTCCAGAAAATTCTGCTCAGTGATGCCACAAAAAATGGCTTGAGAATGGCATCTATTTCTATGGCTGCGATTATTCGTATTGTTTTGGACAGTGGTGCGAGCTATGTTTTAACACAGCGAATAAACCAAGACCCTCTAGAGCAGGGGTCCGCAACTACTTTTCAGCGCGACCCAAAAATTCTTTTTCTAATTTCTTGCAACCCAAGCATTTGGTAAGCATAAAATTAGGTATGAATTTTAAGACTATTATTGACCCTATCAATTTTCTTGCATAAAATTATATGAAACTTAGCACATAAAATGAATAATAGCGTTTATTATGACCAATGCGAATTATAAGCTTTGTGTTTCGAGCACAACATGTCAATTCGAGGTTTAATTTGGGAGTAACTCGATGATTTTCTAGCCTTGTTCTTTATGTATGAAAACGTCCTTTCGCATAGGTTATAAGTAGGTAGTTTCGAATAGCAACAGAACATTCATTGCATCAGTTAATAACTCCGGATATTCCTTTCCAACTGAAATCCAAAATTCAACCACGACAGACTGTCTGAATGGCGAAAGTATCTGAGCGCTTCTAAAATGTGTATTATTACGTCAAAATTTGCACCGCAGTAAATAAGGAAGTGTATACTCGGGGAAACATCCATAATTATAATCTGAGATTTATATAGTTGTTATACCTAAATACGCTACACAGACGCAATGCTCATAATTATGGCAAATTCAGATACTCATTTTTGTACCTAATTTCTTGGTTTGCGGCCCGCGTGGCCAATAAAATTCAAAAAGTGGCCCGCGACATGTTTTGATTTGGAGACCCCTACTCTAGAAGCGTATTTTGGTCATATTTTCATATGAATATTAATCGATGGTTTATTTGTCAAAAATGCCTCCTATTTGAGAGGCTGAATTCAAATTAAAAAGTTTCCCCTATCTCTCGTATAATTTTATTCAAATTTGTGAAACCGCATCTATGTTTTAAAATTAGCTATCAATTATTGGTCTGTGCATTTGTCATTTTTCTCTACCAGGTCTGTGTGATTCTTCATATTTGAGTCAAAATTCCTTTTCAGTTTTTTTTGTTTGTATTTCTTATGCTAAAAACACAAAGTAGAAATTGTTTTGTTGGCTAATTTTTATTATAGTGTAATAATGAGATTATTTGGAAAAATAATTTTTCAAACCATCCCGAAGTCCATATGATTTGGGTCCATATTTTTTTTGTTTTGAAACGTTGTTCTTGCAATGGATAGGGGCCCTCGTTCGAATAAATCTTCTCACAAGAATGGTCAGAATACTGGATTCACTGGGGCTGAAGGGGTCCATGTCAATATTTCCAATAATACGCCGTTCATCTATTACCCTTTTGCATACTTGAGCCCGGAATTCGCGTTCCACAGAGATTAGGAAGAGGACAAATGTTTCGGATGCTGATATGAGACCGCCTCTATTGCGCTCTTCAAAGCAATTGGGAAGATCATGCCCCGAAGCTTGGTTTTGGCACCAGAAAGCACCTAGACCCTTTATTCCCCATTTTAGCAACCCCCCAGCTAGGTCCTCAATCATCTTTTTGTCGCCTTTGGTTATTGACGTTTGCATGAATGGTTCAGTTACTTGGGTTACTTGAAACGCTTCTTTTATAATTTTCAGTGCTGCAGTTTTGATTATGCGTTTTAGGTCCAAATGAGAGATTTCAAAATTGTTCGAATGTGGCTTTTGCAATTTTTCAATGTATTTAGCTGTCACTTTACTTCTGGATTTTTCCCTAGAAATTTCCATCATATCCGCTATAACATCTGCCCATAGCGGTGATTCCTGATTTAATGTGATGTTCAAATGATTCAATGCAGTCTGCAGTGTCTTCTTGCAATCAACACTTCCGTAGTCGATTTCTACTACAGATATGTCCCATTTTCCTTCTATCTCGTCATCAAGCTGTGAAATATAGGAAATCGGGTCTAAAACAGTGCCTGAGTGCTTGAATAAAGAAAAACAAATGTGATGTAAAAATACTGACCAAAATTTTAAGCAAAACAAAAACGGTCTCCACTTTCATATATTAAACTACGGTACTATAAACTCTTACTATTGATTCTTTCAGGATCAAAACCTATTTTAATAAGCAATCAGTACTATGTAACTCACGTCATCAAAAAATTCAAGCATTTTTTCCTCAGATAAATCCATTTTCATTCGAACTTTGAATACCGTTAACAGCGAGCAGCCTAAAATATACTGCAGACGACGCCGTGGTTATGAATTACCCACGCCAACACTAGATGACGCTGTGAACAACAGATCAGTATACGGCCTTCCAGGTATGTTAGTCGTTGGGCCTTCCAGACTAGTTATATAATGGCTCTGTTTCAAATTTGATATTGACAGTCAAAACAATGATTTCAATTTAACATATTTCATCACACCTTAACCTTAAAACTCGCGAGTAATGGCTTAGTTAGCCTTGATATCCCCTTGTTGGGGTAGGAGCGCGTTAAAAAAAAAAGTTAGCCGTCTGTGGGCGTTGAGAAAAAAAAGAGAGCGCTTTGCTTATGTGTTTGGTCAATATATTCGTATTAGAGTCCAGGGGTTCCCAAACTTTATTGGCCGCGGGCCAAAATTAGAATCGAAAGGATGTTCGCGGGCCGGAAGAGTGTAGTGCCCGAAAGTGTGCTGGGGTTCTGTGGATTCACATTTGACATTTTTTTAAACATGTTTGTTTGATTCATTATGGCGCTTTATGTCGTATTGTTTTATAACTTGAATAGTTCGTTGGCAAAGTGGACAAATCGCTGAAGTGTGATTCTTTTCAATACAGAAATACGAACGATGCCATTTATCGGAGTAACATCTGTTTTCAGAGTCTTGTATATTATTTGACATCTCTAACCTTTCTTAAACGGCTGATAACTAAATTACTGCCCTATGTAATCCTAATACGGTACGTATAATTGAGATACCGGCATAATCGAATTGTTACCATGAACACGAGCTCAAACTGTGATAATGACATAACAATTGGCGGTTTCTAGATTGTAAAAAGGTAGAAACAAAATCTATTTCATTGTTTCACTTAAGCTCGGCGGGCCATTTTAAATCGTTACGCGGGCCGGAGTTGGCCCGCGGTTTGGGAACCCCTGTATTAGACGAATATATTGGTGAGCTTAAAGTGTGATTCTCTCGGAATCATCTTTTTAAAAAGTTGTCAGTGATTTAGAAACATACCATATTCTATTGAAAATGGGGTTGTTTTTGACCGTTAATTTCCATTCTTATGAAAATCTTTTGCAATTAAACATTTACTTTTGTTGGGCAATCATTTGGCCTAACGATTTTATGCCACTTAAATAAACATCCGAATTACCCTACCTTCAATGAATTCATAAAAATTGGAAGCCGAATTTTAAAACGACAGAGAGAAATAGAAGAATTTTACCTTAAGAATAGGAGAAGGATGCAGCGAGTCCCAACAAGATGAAAAATCTGTAACTTATAAAATTAATCGAAATTATGAACATAAAATAACATAACACTTTATGCTACATTGTTCATTCGTTCCATCTCTTGCCGCGTTAAATATATACTTTGTTTGAGCGCGCGTTTAATATATACTCGTATACCGTAATTCTTTTCAAAGTCCCTTCGTCTGTTGTTGATTCACTATGTCACCATTTTGATTAGTTTTTCGTGGATTTTTCACCTCATAATATTTTTAAAAGTTCGATTCGTATGTTCGTGAGCCATCATCAGTATTCGTCGTCTCGTCGTTCCATGGTCGTTTAGCAATGTCCAACTGTTATTTGTCTTTAATGCATTGTCATCTCGTTATTTGTCGATTATTTCTCGTCTGCAACTTGGAAAAAAATTGGCGATTAATGTTAGCTAATGGCCCCTGCGTTTAAGTTAGGAAGAATCGTGAATTGTACTTAACTTTGTTCCTCCGTAGATGTTGCAAGATCTCCGTTTGCGCAATCTGACTCCAGGCCACAAGAAGGCATGCTTATTTGGCCTCTGTTCAGTTGGGGTTAACTCCGCCAACCCACGTGTAAATCCTTTTGGCAATTGGTTTAATTACTTAATATCAATGTTGACATATTATCTAGTTCGTTCACATGCGATAATCACCGAAAATTCCCTCAAAATAAATTTTGGTCAATTAAATGAAGGAATTCTTCACGGGTCAAGGGTCGAAAATGATAATCATAGCTTAATATTGCTTAGTCATTTTCACAAATCGATTTCCAATTACTGCAGCGTCATCATTTAATCGGTTTGCCTACTATTATTTGGAACTTCAGAGTGACAATTCCAGACTTTTGTTTCACTTTGGCAATTTGAAGAGGAAGGGTCGTGATGGTAAGTTTTGTTATTTTGTGCCACTCGTTCGTTTTCTCTTATTTAGTCATATTTCTGTAGTTGTTAATATTCCAGTACGTCCCCGGTACAGTCTGACAGTGCCGGGTATTTCTATTATTTTTGTTATTGCTGAGTATTTTCGTGTAGCAAGATAGCCCTGTGTCTGCCAGTTTATGGTTATCCATGTGGATTTCAGAATGTTAACAAGTTCAGAGATTGATATGCATAGTCTAATGTTACGGTAGGCTATATTCTGATATTCGCGATTTCCTATTGCTGGCAGTATTCAGGTATTGCTGTACCGGTTTCGTACCCTGCGGTATTGTCCATTTTGCATATGACTACATGGGCTTAGTGTTAGTTCTGTAGTTAGCCCATTAGCCTAGCCCTACAGGCCTACTTGTTTCAGATGTATAGGTTTCATGTTTCAGCTTCACAGTCTTCTGGTCTTGAGTGCAGAGGAAGGCTACAGATACTGAGATAGTCTAATAGGATAGGATTTACATATTTATCCCGGGGGAGCGGAAAGCCGATAAGACGGCTTATCCATATGGCGAACCATGGCCTCTCGTCCGGTTACCATTCCAAGTCGGGTATGGGATTAGTTATATTGTTTGTTTACGGAAGCATGGACTTGGTGGTGGAGGAAGCCGTTACCGACCAGCGGTTTCGTGAACCACCCAACGACAGCGAGGAGTCCAGCAATCCTCTCGCACATAATCATCCCTGCATGGGATTCGAACCCACGCAGAGTAATTAGAGGTGCGATGGCAAGCGTATTCCTAGCGCTTAGCCACACCGCCGCGCTGATAATAATAAATCTAATAATTTGTCTTCGAACAGCTGATGTCATTTAGATGGAGATTTAAAGTCGCACTTTATAGAATTAAAGCTTTGTTAAACTTTAGTAATGATTGTCAGGTCTTTTCTGTATGGCCTGCAAAGGATGATTTTTATATGTACCGGTATAAATTAACATCTTTTCATCCCACAGACTTTTCTGATCATTTTTTCATGGATTGCTATTTGTCACAGACGTTACCTGCCAGCACTGGTACAATCCTAAACCTAACAAACCCAAATGTTCCATAAATTCAGATACAGATAGCCTATATTTTTACTGGCAAAATGACTGGAATTCCAAATCATATCTTGATTCATCCGTGGTCTGGAAAGTCTGTATTGGCTACCTTTCATTCCTCTTTCTCACTCCATACAGTAGTAGAAAAAGATATCAACAAAATTTATTATATACATAAACAGGAATCACAGGGATTATTACATTGCAATATGAAAGAAACATTATCTATACCACGTGAAGAAAATGATGATTTTGTTATTAATTCCACTTTGAGAACTGGATTCAAAGATGTACAGAAAGGGCTTGGATCAACTCATCCTATTGAATCCTCACTGAAAGATTACAGTGCTAATATGCTCAATATTAGAATGGACATGCTACGACGAACACAGGTATAATACATGATTTTGTTTTGTTTGATCAATTAATTTATCCAATTATTTGTTAAAATGCAAATAATATGCCTATGTTATCCTAGTTTGTTACTGCAATTGTCAAAATATTGAATATTTTTTAAGGGTTTGTATGCTCCAATACAACTTCAAATGGAAATAAACACAGCAGCAAAAGGTGCACAAAGATTGCCTTGTTTACCATCTTCTCAGCTTTCCAAAGAAATCGTTTTGGGAGACGACATTATGTTATCACATCTTGATGTTTTTAATGGTAGGTTGTTGTTAGAGAGATATCAACTCAATGAAAGGCAATATATCGATAATAACAAGCCAATTAAGTAATGTTTCAAGGTTATTCTTTCATATTTTATTTTATTTCCCACTTTACTAATTGTACTTGATTTGTTTTAATAGCTCATGTGTAACACCTGATGTACTTTAGTGCGAAAATATGACATAGAAACTTGGCCATTAAATAGAGTAAGATCTATAAGGAAATTTATGACAGTAGTCAGTAGGCCAATGTGAGATGTTCGAAAGAGTTACAGTAAAGCTAATGTGCGATAGGCTTGAAAAATACAGTGTTTTCGAAAACAAAAATTAATTGAATATATATATTGTAAATTGAAACTTGTTAGGACAACAAAATTCTTACTCATGTTTTGGAGCCCTTAATATTGACTATATTATATTGTAGGCCTATCCCTATGGTAAATCATCTCTAGTTTCCTTTGAGAATATTCACATAACTTCACACAAAAATAGATGGTCCAAGGTTGTCAGCATCTGGAGCCACAATATGATTATTGTATTCGTGCCAAGGATAGATAAACAGCACAAAAGCTTTTAATGTAAAAAAAAATATTTAATCATTGATCAATCCTTATATATCCACATTTAGGTAAGTCTTGATAAAATCTTAGGTAAGTTTTATTAAAGTTAAATGGGTCGCCATAAGCTGTGGTAATAAATAGTGGGTCCCAACTCTTAAAAAGTTTGGGAACCACTGACCTAAAGTATAGTTTATTTATAGATCCAAAAATGTTAAGTCTCTATTTGTTGTTCTTCTTTTTCAGATCCATTTCAGTCGGAAATAATGGGAGATCCGCATATTATGACGGAACACAGAGCAGGATTGAAACTATTATGATTACAACCTTATGAAACATTGATTTAATTTGGTAGATACTCTTGACTGACTGGAAATATCCCCAAAAGGGCTTTTTGATTGACCTGGTTACAATGAATGCAATGGTTAAAATGTTAACTTTCTCTGTTGTCATATACGTTTCTATTAAAAACAGATTCAAATCTGAATCAGCCTACACAGAACCCTATTTATATACATTGTTATAGATACATTGTTATAGAGATGGTTGAAATCCCCTTGTTTCTGATCAGAACGGCCAGAGTATCATAATTGTTCGGTTTGTTCGTATCCGGATTTTCGCAATGGATTACACAAACTGTTTCCTGATTATTTTATGCTTAGCAAAAACATATTGAGTCGCGTCTTTCTTACAGTTCTGAAGCGAGTTTTTGAAATCGTGGCTTTGTATAAGCAAAATAGATGCTGCCAAGATTTTACGCAGTGATACTCATATATGCAACTATTGAGCAAAACTTCAATACCAAACAAGAATACAAATTAAATTACAAGTTTTTGTTGTCCCCCTAACTTTGAATAAAGTTGAAAGCAGATTATATATAAGTTCTGCAGGGCCAATGTCGCATTTTGACATTGATGAATTTTCATCAACTGCTCTCAACATGGCATGACTTCTAGAGTCTAGCTCTAAGATGAAATGTGTTGCAAGGTGTCTGCAATAGCTTACTATTAATTATCATTGAATTGCTGATTTTTTGTCTTGCCATTCACCCATTAGCGAATTCCAGATGCTCGGATTTATTTTTGCTCGATTTCTTGCCTTTTTATTACATCTCCTAATGGAGCTAAATCTCGATTTTTTGATTCGGAAGGGTTTCTCTCCGTTTGTTCCAAGCATTGTGGATATTTCTTCTCGGACTTGGCGAAACAACAACGCGTCTGCAATAGCTCAGACATTTTCGAATTTCGTCGGCACAATTACCATCTTTGAAATATCTTGTATCTCAGACTCCATCAATCATCGGAAGGCAGATAGATTTTCGAACAGAAGTTTGCGTCAATAATGTCGGTCTGGTTTCGGGCGTCCAAATAACCGTTTTTTCACCTTTCCTCTGTTACATCAAGTTCAAGTCGTTTGTGAAGCTATCAAAGCTAGACCGAGTGATGATACACTTACTGGAATCTTTGTTGTTATTCGTGCGTGTTGACATGTTCAGGATCCGATTGATTACCTGAAAAAAAATTTTCCATATTGTTTTATTAATGTAATATCCCGTTCTGAATGAAGTGTCCAAGGGTGAGGCTCATTGAGATTTCTATTCAACATTTTATTCCGGGATAAAAATCGCTCATGTTGTCAATTTCATGAGCGACTGTGTGGTAATTCAATTCTTCTCTCTCGGAAAAATAATCGCTTTCATCCTGTTGTGAACATTTCTATCTACAACTGAAAGGATTTCAATTTGGGAAACATCTATAACAGTGGTTCTTAACCTTTTAGTGACCGCGTTCCACTTTACTGATTTTTACTCTGTCCGCGTACCACCTAAAAAAAAAAAATTGGCGTGGGGAACAATGGCACAAGACACGTTCTATGGGAGCATTTTATAATGTGGCACTACATTTTTTGTGGCCTAATTCGCAAAACGGACAAAAACATGCCTATCTCGATTCGTTCGTGGACAATTGCAGGCGATGGCAATCTTTAAAGACTGGGCTGGTCCATAGAACGTTTTTCCGACCCTTGACTCAAGACAAATTCTTCCTATACTTTGCTATTGCAAAAAATGTTATACTTATTTTGAGAATGTTTTGATGTGTTGGCGCTTATAAGCTTATTTACGTGTTTAAAACCCCCACTTTCATTAAAATTATTCAATCATGTACCGCTTACATGCACTGATAGCTTAGTTTAGACTAGTCTATTGCAGCATTTGCGAGACACATGTTTGATTACAGCAACTAAATTAATGCAAGATATTTAATTCACAAATATTTTTTCGAAACACAACTGAAAACTGACAAAAAAACAACCCGCAAATCTACAAAAACGAGGCAATGTTTACTTTACAACCATACTTGAATATCTGCCTGAGGGACAGAAGTGTCTGAGCGGCTGCAGAAATTGCAATTGTTACATCATTGTTGACTGGTCATGGAAATAACAAGGTAATTGATGCCCGGGAAAAGATGCCCAAAGGCTGTACAGCGAATACATACAATGTGGGAGATAAAGCGTTGTCGGCATATTTCAGCCAACTCAAAAGTTTAATTGTTGCAATAATTCAAAACTGCTCGCGTACCACCTATGAACATCTTCCGCGTACCATAGGTTGAGAACCACTGATAGTATATATTTACGATAACCATTCTGGGATGGCAAACGCGATGTTGTTTAGGAGAAGTCCAAATTCTAGATTATTTTTCTAAAGCAGAACTTTAGAGTGAAGATGCAAAATTTATATGATGCATGCTTTCCCGTTTTGTTTTCTGAAGCTGAATTCTAGTTTTGATATGCATAGATTAAAAAAATCTAATGTTCGACTGGGAACATTTGTATAATAATAAATAAACCAAAATGTTTGGTGGTTTGAGGACATCCGACCAGAGCCGAATTTTGACGTTGAGACTTGAGAGGCAATAGGCTAGCGCTAGCTAGTCTATTTGTGGATCTTGTTCCGCAGTGACGTCATACAAGATTGGGTCACTATAACAATGGCTTATAATGTGGTATGACGTTAAAATTCATTTGTGTAGACTGTGGAATACGAAATTTTAGTTAGGCTACATGCAAAATACGTGTGCTAATCACAGGATTCCCATGAGCCACCTGTATTCATTTGGTTAAAAGCCCAATTTGGAAAATAGATCTTGTCATGTTCAGTTAAATCAGTTAAATTCAGAGTCAGTTAAAAGTCCAATCTGACTAAACACAAAGCGTTCAATAAGAAGCAAGAAGTTGCATCGTTATGAACTTCAGAATCCCCGGTGTTTATTGGACCATTTGCTGTTATTCGTAGGTAAAGCATTCCATATTGAAACCTGGAAGAATTGCGGTTTGGGGTTCTGTACTTTGTAATGAATCAGATACCAGTGTCAGCAATCAGATTCAAAAATCGTGATTGTTCGGAATCGGATATATAATGTGCTACATACATCTCTAAACATTCTGGAGTTCTATCTGAATCTTACAAAGCCATCAAATATTATTGTTAAAGGATATTTTAATATTTACTATTTAGCCAGCTATGAACAAATTCATCATTTCTGATTGCATTGATTCTTCCTCTGTATCTCTCTTTATTGGACACGTTAGTGGACATAACGATCGTTTTGGTATTTTTGTTGTTCTTGTTGGACACGTAGTGGACATAACGATCGTTTCAATATTATGTTGTTGTCGTTGTTCTTGTTCTTATTCTTGTTCTTTGACACGTTTTTAAAAAGTCGCTTTTCTCTTTGATTACTGGACTAATTGCTTTGAAATTTTCAGTGGTTGAAGATGAAATTTTTCTCCAGAAGGCTATTACTTTTATTTATTTCAAATATTTCTGTTAGCTCTGTAAGATTTGTTTTTGTTTGCTATGACGTCACTAAACGTTCTACGATTATCGGACGCCATTTTGTGTCCAACGGATCATCTTGCAATTTCAATTCACGCTGTCACAAGACAGGACCTTATAAAGATAGAGAAGTTCTGGTACCGTAACACAGCGCGGTGACACTGAACTAACTCGTAGCTGTCAAAAGCTTGAAAATCCATACAAATATAAGAGATAAAAAGATGAAACTTGGCAGGTGGGTAGAGTTGTGTTTCTTCTAACCATATTTGAAGGTTTCGCGTTTCTACATTTGAAGGAGGGGGAATAGGGGGTGTGCATTTCCGATACGTCGATAATATCTTTGTCAACCAATTTGCGACCACCGTGTTTTCGTCTGTTTGATTGCTGTGATGTGGTGCTTTGTTTATAATTTAACGAGTTTTGTTCGAAATAACCGTGTTCTTGAAATATATGACGGTCAGAAATGCAATTAGAAGCCCAATGTTTTTACGCTGTCACAAGACAGGAACTTCTAAAGATAGAGTAGTTCTGGTACCGTAACACAGCGCGGTGACACTGAACTAACTCGTAGCTGTCAAAAGCTTGAAAATCCATACAAATATAAGAGATAAAAAGATGAAACTTGGCAGGTGGGTAGAGTTGTGTTAACCATCTTTGATAGTTACTTCTCTCCCCCGGGATAAATATGTAAATCCTATCCTAATACGCCGATAATATCTTTGTCAACCAATTTGCGACCACCGTGTTTTGTCTGTTTGATTGCTGTATGGCTGCGTATGCGATAATCTCGACGCAGCAGAAACGATGATCAAGACTTGAAATCCGTGGTCGCACACTGGTCGCAAATACGTCTTTCGAGTGCCGTACCTTGGGGATTTGTATAGCTTTAACCCTTTGTCGTAGAAAGTTAATACGAGGTTTAGCGTGTAGAATAAATGCCGCCAATGCACCCACGGTGAAAAAATTAACGGGTCAGATATATTGGTTTTTGTTTTATAGCGGTTTGAATGAAATTGTCCGCAGACTGGCTACACCACCCTAGGCCTGGTGAGTTGTCCGTGTAGTCGAATTGTCCATCAGCCCTAAACGGCTATGACAGTCACTGTACCAAAAATTGTACCCCGATTCGGGTGGTGTTAAGTTGACGCATGTTATTTAGTAACGTTTTTATGTGAAATGTTTGACTGTGGTTCGGTACACGATCTGATAATACGGTACATAATTGACTCATATCACGAGATATTTCAACTGATGTTTCAATTGTCACAGGACCTAAAATATCTATGACAGTCCCTGTACCGTCACGGTACCCCGATACAGGTACTGGTAAGTCACCGCCGGTATGTTAGTCGTTGGTCACCGCATATGATTTTTGGGGAATTGTTCTGCGTGTCCATATATTTGAGCATTGCTCTCTTGTTCTCATTTGTCTTCTTCTTGGTATCGTTATGAAAAAAATCGCTTTTCTCGTTGATTACTGGACCAATTGCTTTGAAATTTTCAGTGAGTAAAGATCATATTTTTCCCCAGAAGGCTATTACTTCTATTTATTCTTAAATTTTATATGAATCCTATGAGATATGATATTTCATACAAAATTTCGCGGTATTTATTTTTACTCATGGGAACACTGTTTTACACTTATTTCAAGCGGTTTCGCG